ACGACCTCTAATGACCTAAATGACCTCCAAAAATGAAAATGTTTTAACTATGGCTTTATGCATATCAAACGAAAGCTAGAAATCCAGGGAATACAGTAGTAGCAACAAATGCAGTGTTTGACCTTCTAATGACCTCGAATGACCTGAATGACCTCCAAAAATAAAAATATTGTAACTATGGCTCAGATGGTCAAACACTGGATTTATTGCTGCTACTGTATTCCCTGGGTTCCTATCTTTTGTTTGATATGCATAAAGCCATAGTTAAAACATTTTCAATTTTGGAGGACATTTATGTGATTAGAGGTCGTTAGAGGTCATTAGAAGATCAAACACTTGATTTGTTGCTGGGTTCCTAGCTTTCGTTTCATATGCATAAAAGCCATAGTTAAAATATATTCTATTTGTGGAGGGCATTAGAGGTCATTAGAGATCATTAGAAGGTCAAACACTGGATTTGTTGCTGCTACTGTATTCCTGGGGTTCCTAGATTTTAATTGATATGCATAAAGCCATAGTTAAAACATTTTCATTTTTGGAGGTCATTTAGGTCATTCGAGGTCATTAGAAGGTCAAACACTGTATTTGTTGCTACTATTGTATTCCCTGGATTCCTAGCTTTCGTTTGATATGCATGAAGCCATAGTTAAAACATTTACATTTTTGGAGGTCATTTAGGTCATTCAAGGTCGTAAGAGGTCATTAGAAGGTCAAACACTGTATTTGTTGCTACCACTGTATTCTGGTCAGTAGAAGTCATTAGAGGTCATTAAAATTCAATTTGATTTGATTTTAGGAATTTCGAGCACTAATTAGGCGTGCAGCCAAAATATAGTTTTTATTGCTGATGTAAAAAATCAAACGGAGAGAAGCTGATCAATCTTTTTAAATGTATATTTTATTAAGGTCTCTTGTGTATCCGCTCTACCGACACTGGGATCTATCCATCTTAGTCTGGAAGGATGTAATTGATATTCTTAAAGTTGGAAAGGTATATTCACAGTTGCTAAGTGGACCCTGAGTTAGTTACTGATAAAGATTGAAAAGTGTCTAGAGCTGGGAACTTTTGTTTTGATACTCATAATCCCGGACACTTGATCTCGATATCAACTGTGAGTTTGGGCACTTTTTATTTGAGGATCTATTAAAAACTATGCCTTCATTTTAGTTAGTTCTCCCATGATGAAAGTGATAACCATGCGGGATATTAATAAAGATTAAATTAATCTACAGATTAGCAAAAGATCGAGATCAAGCATCTTAGATCTCGATATTTACAAAACAAGAGTTCAGACCAATTTTTTTTTATCATTTTATGATTTGCACTTGATTATAATATTTCTTATGTAGTTATCAAATTATTAAAAAATATTTTTAAAAGTTTTTTTCCTAGGTTGCCGTTATTAAAAGTTTGCTGAAGGTTTTGTCTAGTTTCTCCGATACTGAGGGATACTATATTCTCTCCCAACTTTACATTCAGGTTTAGAACACATTCTAATTTATAATCTGGTTCAGTTACTACTAATGGGGGGGGGGGGGTTCGAGGCATCAACTATATTTGACCCGTTGATCCGTGTACTCCAGAAGGATGTAGAAGATTGTGGCGAGGAATGATCAGGAAGTTTTAATTGATAGATTGATAGTGAAGTTCAGACCCCTTGATTTTTTACTCAATTCATTAAGATAAATTATTGTCGACTCTCTTAAAACGTTAAATAAAATCTTCAGTTCGGTTTTAGTATTTGACACACGTGATACAAATATTAGATTTTTCATCTAATTTCATGTTTTAGAATTTTTATTCATTTCACAGTTTCCAGTTTTTCCATATTAAAGAAGGAATGGAAAAGTATATTTTAAATACGGTGGCAAGTGTTTATATCACTACAATGAAGACGACTTTTTATTTAAGTTTTGATTGTTAACATGGTTTCTTCGAATTACAAGTTTGCAAGTAGTGAAAAAAAGCTTTTTTAAATTGATAATTTCTCTTGACATTTTTGCTTGTGTGTATCCATGCTGTTTAACAGCTAAGTTTATATGAAAATTTAATTCGAAAGTCGTTTTCTTTGTATTGATATAATCGCCTACCACTGTATCTTGTTTTCACTTAAAACTAAAAGATCGAAAGCTGTAAGTTTCACAGGATGCTATTTACATGTATAATAATAAATGTTTCTTTATAATGTTATCCTGATAGATCTTTCTCTATCTAGGATTATGTAACCTGGATCCAGACTGTTCCGGACACTCACCTGGAGTCACTGACATCTGCAGTAGAGAAAACTTTATCAGGTTCAGATTCATTTTCTCCGATATTAACAAACCATCTCCCCTTGAACTTATTCTTACTGTCTCAACATAATACAACTGTTAAAAGCACTGTCGACAATGTGACCCTCTAAACAAAGATTTTGCTTGTGAGGGTCACATGAAACTACCAGCAATTCCTCCTAAGTTCACATTTTCACCTTTTCTTCATATTTAACAAATTTGGTGCGCTTTAAAGGAATTCTTAAAATCTCAACAATAACATAACTTAAGGACAGTGACGATATTTTATGCCATTTCTTGCACTCGCCGCAAACTATATTTTAATTATATGAGGCAACAGAATTCATAACTTGAAATTTCTAAGGTCTATGTTATTAGGATGCAAAGATATAAGGGTTAGAAAAATAGAGAATGTGGTGAGTTATCAGTTCCTTTTTCCTTTGGAACTGATGAATGGGATTAGTGTTAGGAAGATCTTCTTACATCTTAAAATCTTAATGTTTATGTCCTAGGGTTGACTAAGGCTGATCTAGAACTGGAGCTGGATGAACTTGAAGAGGCTGCGGAGCTAACCCTTCAAGAGGAGAAGGAAGAGGAAGAGGAGAAGGAGGAAAAACATCCTGAGCAAAACCTTGCGGATATCTTGCAGAAAAAACTAGTCATTAATCCGGTCGATTCCGACGATTCGTCAGATTCCGACGATTCTACAGACTCGGACGATTCTTCAGAATCTGAATCTGATACAGAGAGCACGGATAAATCCTGAGCTAATGCAAACTCTCTGTGATCTCAAGTACCTGATTTTATTTACACATTTTTTCAGAAATATGTCTGGGTTGCATTAAAGACAAGATAATCCGGTTTCTGGGTAAATTGAAATATAAATAAAGAATTGAGAGTTTAGTCTAGTTGGGACTGGAGATAAGAGAATACAGTTACCATGAACGCTCTGACGGATATAATCTTAAATACTCCGGTATTTCCGTTTCTCTGGGTTCCACACTCGATACTGATGAGTGTTGCTCTTAGAGCAACCCTAGGTAAACAAAAAACTATTCTATTCAAATCACCTAATTAGTTATAATCGAGTATTTTTCAACAAAATATCCGAGTAGTTTTTTACAAAATATCGAGCAGTATTCAACAATATATCGAGTATTTTTCAACAATATATCGAGTATTTTTCAACAAAATTTCGAGTAGTTTTTTACAAAATATCGAGCAGTATTCAACAATATATCGAGTAGTTTTCAACAATATATCGTGTAGTTTCCAACTAAAATTTCGAGCAGTTTTCAACAAAATATCGAGAAGTTTTCAACAAAATATCGAACATTTTCTTATCGCTGTGGGGTTTCTATGTCTTACCTAACTTAACCTTTTAAGAAACCTTTTTAGAACTATTCTGTTTTAAAGCTGGAAAGTTTGATTTAATGCATTTTTTATAATATTAAAATAAGAAAAACTTTATAGTTACAATTGAATATCATCATTTGTTATTTTTTTGCCGGGTTATGCACTTATGTTTTTTCATTATTCTGATTTGGTTTTGTTCGGTTTGATTTGGTTTGGTTTGGATTGGTTTAATTTGGGTTAATTTGGTTTGGTTTGGTTTTGGTCTAGTTTGGTTTGGCTTGGTTCGGTCTGATTCGGGTTTGGTCTGATTCTGGTTTGGTTTGATTTGGTCTGGTTTGGTTTGGTTTGGTTTGAGCTCATTTCATTTAGTTTTTATTTCATTTGGATAATAACGTGATTGCTCTCCAGGTCCTGCTAAATGGCGGGAGTTCTCAAGGGAACATCCTCTCTCCTGTTTCCTCCTCGCCCTACTCTACATCTACCCTGGAGGAATCTTGGCCTCCTTTATTCAGGGACAATCCTTGATCGCATTTCTTAAATTATCTCCGAATCTGTATGCAGCCTGTATCTCCTGGTACCTGGTGTTCTACTCCCCCCTGGACGTGTTCTATCAGACCCTCATTAAGACCGGGGTTCTACCCTTCCTCACTATACTCCAGGACTGGCAGAGAGTAGGTAAGCAGTAAGCAGTGCACTAGGCAGAGATATGTTTATATCTTCTAGAAAAATTTAGCTTTTAACAATTTTTATAATTCGTTTTTATGTTGAAAATGAAAAAAACAATGAATTTTTTTTTATTTCAGGTTTGGTGTTGTCAGGTTTAGAAACCATTAACTCTGAGAGCCCCGGGTACTTCTTGTATCCGGTAGTGTTCGGAGTAATCAAGTCCAGTGGGTTCATGGTCTTCAAGTATATCGAGGTCGGGCTCCTTCAGGGTCTCAAGACAGGGTTCAAGGTTCCAAACCAACAAACTAAAACTATGGTTGTATCAGCAGTTCTTCTCCAGTTACAGGTATAACAAGGTGGATATTTTAACACAGGGGGATAAGTATTTCTTCAGGGTTTGTGTTGTCCTAAGTAGAATATTTGGGATGGGATTTTAAATGCGAATTCACTAACCTCGTGAAAAGATTTTTCAGGATTTTAAGCAGAATAGGTACATTTGAATTTTATTGTCTGAGGAAATCACATAAAGTGTGGAACATCGTAGATATATTAATTTAGATTTTATATTGGTCTTCTTGGAGTTTTATTTTAATACTCAACACACTATTAGGTCCAAAGTTTGCTTTTTTAACAACAATATTTGGGTCCTGTACTTTGTACTATATGTAACTTTATATATATTTAGATCATGTACTTTGTACTATATCTAACTTTTCATATATTTAGATCAATTTACCAGTACTGCTTTAAATTGTACATATATTTAAATTGCCTATTCTGTACTCCCTCTAACTGTAATACATTTAGATCATGTACTCTGTACTACCTCTAACTGTACCTCTACTATACAAATATTTAGATCCTGTACTCTGTACTACCTCTATCTATAATATACTTAAATCCTGTACTCTCTATTACCTCTCACTATATATTGTACTCTGTACTACCTCTAACTGTAATATATTTAGATACTATACTCTGTACTACCTCTTACTGTAATATATTTAGATCCTGTACTCTGTACTACCTCTTAATGTATATATATCTATATATTGTACTCTGTACTACCTACTACTGTAATATATTTAGATCCTGTACTCTGTACTACCTCTAACTGTAATATATCTATATATATTGTACTCTGTACTACCTCTCACTGTAATATATTTAGATACTATACACTGTACTACCTCCAGCTATTATATATTTAAATCCTGTACTCTGTACTACCTCTTACTGTACATATATCTATATATTGTACTCCGTACTACCTACTACTGTACATATATCTATATATTGTACTATGTTCTAACTCTAATTGTAATATGTTTAGATCCTGTACTCTGTACTACCTCTTACTGTACATATATCTATATATTGTACTCTGTACTACCTACTACTGTACATATATCTATATATTGTACTCTGTACTACCTCTTACTGTATATATATCTATATATTGTACTCTGTATGTTACGCGTATTTTAAGGGTTTTCGAAAATAAACGAAAGTTACTCATTTTTAAGTAGGACTCACTGTATCTATCCTGTTGTAACTCTCCTATTGGTCGGAGATAGTTCCACTCAAGAAATATATAGACCAGGAACCGCCATATCTAATGCGTCAAATTTGTGTACTGCAGTGGGAGGCGATCAAAACAAAGAATTCAGGGGCAAAACATCAATTATGAGGGGTGGGATGAAATAAAGTATATTGCTATCGTAGACATGAATACTGATTATAAAACGAAAGAATATTTGTTACTTGNTTTCGTGGGACACCCTGTATCTAATGGGACACACTCGCTTGTAATTACCTATCATGCATTTTCAGTCGGCTATGGATGTATTTATTCCTCTTTCCTTACAATATAAAAACTGAGATGTAACATAAAAGTAGACCATTTTGTTACGCGTATTTTAAGGGTTTTCGAAAATAAACGAAAGTTACTCATTTTTAAGTAGGACTCACTGTATCTATCCTGTTGTAACTCTCCTATTGGTCGGAAATAGTTCCACCATGAGAGCGAGTCTACTATTAATCAGTTGGGACCGAGATTTACCTGAGAAACAAAATCCGACTCATTCAGTATACAGAGCTTGAGCTGTCAACAATAGTAAATCAGTTCTAAAATCTAGTCGGTTCTCAGGTTTATCTTTTCAGACTCTTGTAATGGCTTGGACGGATTAGAATCCTTTTTTATATTTTCCATCCATCAGGACGCCAGCATATGTAAGTACGACGACCTTTTTATTGAGTATATTTTGAATTTCCCGCTTGCGCAGTAAAAGGAGTCTGCCCCGTAATATTTCGTAAATCGTAAACCACATTAGAATCTGAGACGTTTTGGAATCCTCAGTTTAAACATTTATATTTAGTTAGTTTCGTAAAAGTTTAACACTGATATTCTTTTTATTATGTAGATTTGATCCACAGAATCGTGTTCCAGACGATTAAGAATGGTTTAGACTTTTACGGTTGCATACTTTAAGTTTTGACGCGGGATACGAAGAACGGTGGGTCTGTCCTAGTATACGATTTTTGGACCCCCCCCCCCTCCTATCAATTTTGTACATGACCATTTATTTTTCAGCAAACTTATTATTATTTATTTTTTTGTTATTTAGGGTTAGGTTAGGTTAAGATACTCTCTGGGCCAAGCGCTGCGGCTAGGATGGGCTAGGGGGCCGAGCGCTGCGGNCTTTTTTATTTTGACTGTATCGTATACTAGGAAATTACCAGAACGGTTACCAAAGATGGAATCTAGGTAAATAGAAAGGATTCTTTTACTTTACGAATTAGGTCTTATTTTACCGATTCGCGCTTAACACTGTACTACCTCTAACTGTACATATATTTAGATCCTGTACTCTGTACTACCTCTTACTGTACATATATTTAGATCCTGTACTCTGTACTACCTCTTACTGTACATATATCTATATGTTGTACTCTGTACTACCTCTAACTGTACATATATCGATATGTTGTACTCTGTACTAACTCTTACTGTACATATATCTTTATGTTGTACTCTGTATTACCTCTTACTGTACATGTACTTAGATCTTGTACTCTGTCTACCTCTTACTGTACATATATTTAGATCCTGTACTCTGTACTGCCTCTTACTGAACATATATTTAGATCCTGTACTCTGTACTGCCTATATCCGTATCTGATCTGTACTGCTGTTTGGTCCTGTACACTGTTGTTATGCGCTTGATTACTTTACTGCTAGCTAAGGTAACTAAATGTAAAAAGGTCACGAAAATTCATTTAATTTTTTTCAGAATTATTGTTAGAAATACAAGTATTATTATTACTCTTATTATTTACAGACTGCTAACTGCTTCATACTATTAGGCGCCAGTGAGAATGGCCAAATATTAAAAAATATGATTGTCTTAAATATTGTCTTGGTAATTGGTTTACAATTTTTAATGCATTTTCGTAATTCTTTGAGAATTCGTGAAAAGTCCCTTTAATACTATATTTGTTTAGTCTGATTGGGATCCGTATCTGGGGTTTGAGAATGGTGTGTGTACTCTAGTATACGGAGCTCCGGGTTCAACGGAGATCACGGAGAAGAAATCTGCAGAGGAGAAGAAGGATGATTGATTAGTTGATTGATCTTGAGCTTGTTACAATTTTTACATTATGATAAGTTTTATACAAAATATTTTTTCTAGATTTCTACATTTACTGTTAGGTTATTTTAACTATATTTTTCAAACATGGTTTTAAAACGAATGTTTTATTCTGAACTAAACCGATATAACTAGATACATATTTAATATCTTAAACGATATCCCAGTATATCTCAATCAATCAAATGGCTCAAATAAATGGATAGATAAGTCATTTTTTCATAAATCTCAAATACACAACTTTATTTATGATATGGGATAGTTTCTTTTTAATAAAAATGTGTTTTTCGCTTACTTTTCTTACAGTGAAAAAAAATCGTTTTTTTAGCTTATAACATCCGCCGGCCACTAATTAGTGCCCACAAAAAAATTAAGCTCAATCGGTCCAGCTGTTTGGCTGGCTATACGCATTACGCAACATATATATATATATATATATATATATATATATATATATATATATGTATGTATACGAATATCTTGTTTTATTATATAGATAATAATTTATTTTGTTTAATGCAACATTATGTATTTATATTTCGTAATTTTATGCATTTATGACTTTATTATATTCCGTGTTTTTTTTTATACTTTCTGTGATTCAACTTTTGATATACAGCAAAACATGATTGTGATTTATGCCCGGTTCTAATTTTCTTCATGATCTATATTTAAGAAAAAAGAAATGAGATAATTGAATTTGATTCTTTGACAATTATTAACGAGTATTTCGGAATTTTCTTCCATAATCTTCATTAAGTTTTACAATTTCTGTTTTGAAACAGGAAATCTTTGAATTATGTCATCAATTCGTGATCATGCATTTTCGGAAATATTTAAATATAAATAAAGTTTGATGAATTGTGTATTTTGAGATTTCAGGTGTAAAGATGAAACAAGATGGAGTTCAGGTTGATGAGATTATATTATCTAGTCAGGTCATGGAGGTCTGCTGGACACATGCCTTATCTAGTGAGAAGGAGGTAATTAAAGGGACTGTGCTGGACCCATGTTTATCTAATAAAGGGACTGTGCTGGACCCATGTTTATCTAATTAAAGGGACTGTGCTGGACTCATGTTTATCTAATTAAAGGGACTGTGCTGGACCCATGTTTATCTAATTAAAGGGACTGTGCTGGACCCACGTTTATCTAATTAAAGGGACTGTGCTGGACTCATGTTTATCTAATTAAAGGGACTGTGCTGAAACCATGGTTTTTCTAATTAAAAGATGATAATAGATTTAAAACTAGCTCTTAGAATGTTTTAGATCATACCATCTTTATCCAGATCATCCTAACCTAAATTTGGTACTCATGTTGTAATATATAAACCGTCCCAGCTCCAAACCACTCCCCTGCATTCATTTGATCCAATACCAAGTTTTTAAATCCTGATCTGGTCCAATTTTACTTATAGTGCAATGTATATCGAACAAGATTTCAGTAAATTTTGTCAATTAATAATTAGAATTCTGTAATTCAATCCTGATCTGGATTTTAGTTTTGGGCCCAAAATGTTATCCCGGGTTTCTTTGCCTAGACCTAGACCTGAATTCTTAATATATGAATTTTGAGAAGTATCCAGGTTTGCCTGATCAGTGATCAGTGATCACTGATCGTCGATAACAAAGCTGATAATAGTTAAACTAGGAGATAATGGGATTGTTGGTTGGACGAGTTGAAGGGAGCAAGGTTAAATTCTTCACACTCAAGGTCCTCAAGAGACTAACCAAGGAGAAGGACAGGGTGGAGATAGATCCGTCACAGCTCATGGCAGGAGCTGAGTTCGCGGCATCTCTCAAGGTTGGTTTCAGCTTTTATCTATTTATAATCTATATAAACATGAAAAATATTTTTCGATCATTTTAATATATATCATGCTTCAATTTTCTAACTATTTAAAAGAACAGTGTAATTTCAAATTACTATGCAAAGATGACAATGCCTAATTCACAACAATACCCTTAAAATGTTTGTCTGATGAAGTATGAATCAATGTTTTTCACTTTGAAAACAGATTATTTTGAATTGAGTTTTCTTTACAAAAGTGATTGACGCAATTCTACGGAAGGAAACTAATAGGAATAAACACTTGTCATGCTAGAAAAACGATAATGTCTTGCACTTGATTGATCAGATAAGGTTTCAAGGGTAATGTTGACATTCTGGTATTTCCATCATTGCATGGAGGGTCACTTGAAATTACGCTCACAGTCCCTTTATGTGGTATATATAAATTGATATATATATATATATATGTTTGATTTGTTGCCAATTATTTTGAACCAATATATTTCAATATATATATTAGAGTTAAAAGAGTAACTGGAGATTGTAGCTTACCAATGGGTAAATGGACTGCTTTAAACTGAACGTTTAGTTTGATTTGATTTCTGTTTTTGTTAGGTTAATGTTGATGTGTTTGATCCAGGATGAGAATGGAGATGAGCTCCGGGTGATGGGTTGGTATCATTCTCATCCTCACATCACAGTTCATCCTAGTGCTGTAGATCTGAGAACACAGGAACACGGAGCCAAATTTAAATTTAAAGAAAAAAAATTATTTGGTGTTTCTTAATAAAAAAGCGCTATTTATCATGAATTCATGAATATTTAAATATTTGATCCCGGTCAATACTGTAAACTCAAATTGTCATTTTCATCATAGCATATATGTCATTTTACCAAAGGGGAGGGAGGAGATGTTGGATTGTTAGGAACTGTTTTAAGATTTGTTCCTGTACCCTAGGCAGCTTATCAATTGATGGATTCTAGTTTTGTCGGAGTTATCTTTTCTGTATTTTGCACAGATAGATCTACAGGGGTAGATACAAGGTAACAGGAACAGATACAAGGTAACATGGACAGATGCAAGGTTACATGGACAGATACAAGGTAACAGGGATAGATACAAGGTAACAGGGATAGATACAAGGTAACAGGGACAGATACAAGGTAACATGGACAGATGCAAGGTTACATGGACAGATACAAGGTAACAGGGATAGATACAAGGTAACAGGGATAGATATAAGGTAACAGGGACAGTTACAAGGTTACAGGGACAGATACAAGGTAACAAGGACAAATACAAGGTAACAGGGACGGATACAAGGTGACAGGTTTAGATACAAGGTAACAGGTTTAGATACAAAGTAACAATGTTCTAGGCGAGTGACTGGGTTCCAGGCGGATACAAGCGAACCTGGTTCTCCGTCCTGCCGAAGCGTTCAGATCTCTACAGACGAAAACATTTCGTTCACATCTCGGGAAATATTTGTTTCAGCTTACAAGGCAGGAAAAATTAGAAAATGTCTTAATCAGGTTCTATCTGATGTTTCTGTAAAGAGAACTTGATTATCTCCACAGTCTACAGAAATCCACTGAGAACACACATGTTAACATTTCAGGCCTTGGGAGAGCTTTGGCTGGTTTTAGCAGAGGAAGAAAGAGAGGAATTCAACAAGTTTAAGGTTTTGGAAATTGTTTTTAGCTAAACTGACATGCAGTATGCTATCTATACGTATAAAGTAGTAATCTCTGTCTGTTTGTATGTCCGATCATAACTCATTAACAATTTGCCTCAAATTTTTATTGGGGAACTCGGGAGAACCACGGGAATGGTCTTAGCTTGGTTTTGAGATTCTAAGTTGTGTGGGTTGACTTGTAAAGGGGAAAATATCTAAAACGGTGGGAATAGCTATGAGTATTGAGTACCCTGGGCAGCACTGGTTTCTCAAGCTAGTATTTAATAAAAAAAATGAAAAGTAAAGTTAATTTTGACAAATTTTTGTAAACTCTAGTGGATTAATTTTGAACATTTAGGCTGAAGGTGAGATAGATCCTATTGCAGAGATTAACAATCAAGCTCAGCTTTCTACAAGGTACAAGAAAATTCAAAAGTTTTTTAAAATGTTATAAAGTTCCTTAATTTTTAAGAAACTCTTGATATCAGATAAAATTGTTTAATAAGATGTTTTTTCCTACACTTTCTTTGGGAATATGTTATGTTCTCATTCTTAGGTTTCCAGAGGAAACATGCAATAAGAAAATATCAAAGAAAGTTTTTTTATTGTTTTATTTAATTATTGTTTTGTCAAGGTTGGCTCATCTACACCGTCATCTCGTTATGCCAGTTATGCAGACAATGAGACTCAAACTCCAGGTAGATATTTTTCGGTTCTCTTGTTTTCTTGAAACATTGATTTGGGATATCAAGTTTGAACTTTGTGTGAGGAGTCAAGGATGCAGGATTTTTTTATTCTATCTAAAAATTTATTATTTTTGATTGTGTTTTATCTAACTAAAATTTAGACTTGACAGATTTATGCTGTCAGAAACAATTAAGGAAAATAATACTTTTCTAAAAAGAAAAACAACCGTATCTTCCTTATTGCAAGCAAGGGCGTATACAGGGGGGTAGCCCCCCCCCCCCTAGAATTCAGAGCTATCAAACTTTTAAATCTTAAACTGAAGAGTGAAGACTGAAGAACATGACAAAAATAGTTTTTTGTTTATAAGTTTGAGGGGAATCCTCCCCACCACAAAAAAAATACATATTGTCTGCAAGTTAGATAAAGATTTAAAGTGTGCCGTTGTGAATCGGTCAATACGTCTACAATTCTTTATATGTATAGATTGCTAAGGTGAATGCTAAGAAAACTGAAGAAAGGAAGATGAATGCTCAAGTTTCAGGGTCGTTAAAGACAGGTATCATTTTATATTTGGTTACCTCCCCCCGTCACACACTTGGCCCCTTATACCACTATTTAATAATTTTGAGTTTTCTTGGGGTATTGAAATAATTATTAAAAGAGTAATTATTGTTTGTTCAATTTTATGATTAATTTATCTATTAAAAAAGGAGATGGTGCAATGAAGAAGAGTGAAAATGTGGAGAAGGAGTGCAGAAGAGAAAAGAATGATACTCCAGGAAAAGGTATTGAGAAGAGAAGAAGAAGTTCTCAAGAAGTCTGTGCTGAGAAGAGGATAAGAAGTGATCATCAACCAGACCAGATCTGTCTCAAGAAGACGCCTCAAGATGGGCCGAGTAGGTCGAGTCGGTTTAGTGATATCATATTTAAGAGTGATATTGAATCCAGGAAGAAAAGTGATAGTCAAGAGTTCTAAATTCATCTAGTTCGGTTTCTCAACATTTTTGGCTGTGATATAAGTAAATTCATATAAATTCCTTGTGCAAGTAAATGTATTGTCTTCGTTGAAATGCTTTATGTAATTTACAGGACTAATATACATTATTTTTCATATATTTATTCAACTACAAAGCATGAGATATTACAAATAAGCAATTACAATTTACTATGCAGTTTGGACCCGCCTAACCAGGGTTGGTTGTATTGAGTGGTTGGCCCGAAGTTAGTTAACGATACTGAATATAATTGGTTACACATATCAAGATATGTTTTGGATATGTAAGGAGTTGATTGGAAGGAAGGAGATTGTCAGGTGATCTGTGGCAGGGTGAGATCAGTGAGATTTTTATGTAGAGATAAATTTAAAATACTGGGTGTTAATGATGGTTGTTACAGCAACAGAAATAACCTAATAAAGTTTCAGTTATTTTAGTTTTTTTATATAAAATTTATTCACACGATATACAGCTAGGTTTTTCGCATTTAAACCTCTCATAATTCTCAAGATAAATATTGATTACTCTTTCTTTGAATATTTTTAGATTTAGTTTCTTTAAGGTCAATTTCAATTGCATTCCACAATTTAGGAAACATTGCGGACGTAAAGCTTTCTAGATTTTTGTTTAAAACCCGTTCTAATTTATATGATTTTGTTCTGTTCGGTTCAGCTAAAGACTTAAACATATTTTGGAAGGAAGAGAGAAGGTTATCATTAAAGTATCCATGCATAAATGTCAGAACACAAAGTTGGTATGTATCATCAAGATTAAGAAATATCAGTTTTGAAAATGATGGATTTGAATGTGCCTTGAAAGTACTATTATTAACCGCTCTGATTGCCTTTTTCTGCAAAGATCTGATTTTTTGCAGTTAAGGGTTTTTAACCCCTCCCCAAGTAACAATTCCATATTCAATATGCGGCCTTACAAGAGAGTTATAAACAATTAGACGAATATCTTATGGTAAGATATTCTTAATTTGAGACAAAAAGCAAAGATTGAGCTAGCAATTTTATTCGAGATATGTTCAATTTGAAAATCCCAGTTTAAAAATTCGTCAACTTTAAGTCCAACCACTTAGAAATATTTGTTCACACAGTTCTTTTCCTGAGCTCTTCTTGGGCTTTGGCTTACTTACTGTTTCTAAAATAATTTCCGGCGTAATATTTGCAAAAACAAAATTTTCATTTATGGGCTCATTTAAATACGTTTCAAAAGTGACATTAGTTTCCGGAATGTAACTACGTTGACAAAAAAATCATTAAAACCTTCTGCAATTTCACTTGATTCTACAAAAGTTTGATTATTATTAGTAAAAATATCAGGAACTGAATGACCTTTTCTTAGAGGAAATTATAGAATTAAGTAAGGTCCAGGTTTTTTTATCTTTTGAATATTCTTGAAACTTTGAGTAAAAATAACTGGCTTTGGCCTTTTTTATCAAAGAACGATAACCATGTTGTATTTTCGGATTTTAGAATTTATTTACTTACAACCGCTGATGTTTATTTGACTGATAATTGTATGAAATGTAGTGTCACAATCATTGCATCTTAATACGCAAAGGAATACAAATAGAGAACGAAATTATTATTGAAATTTTATTAGTTGGAAAAAACTTAAGATTTATAAATTGTTGACGAGAATTGTTGAACATGAAGCAGATGAAGAGAGGTTACCAATGCTTGCTATTTGTATAGTTTTGAACAAATTACAAACCTCTGCATTTTGCCGACTATGTTGTGTACAAAACCAGAACTGTGATATTTATTAATTTTTTTAAATGCTCCAAATTTGATTTAATGAGAGCTTATGTTTCAATTATAACTTAAACACGTTTTACACATAATACTAGCTGAAATTCCCAAGGGCAACGCCGCCCTTTTTTTTAAAGAAAAAAATTTCGAATTTTGCTACGCATATGAAACCCTCCGGCCACCTTTGAGTCTACACAAAAAAAATTCAGTCCAATCGGTCCAGCCGTTTGGCCGGCTATACGCAACATATATATGAATGTCTTGTTTTATTATATACAGGGTGTTCCTCTACAACTGATATTTTTTATTTGTTAATTTTTTTTTTGAAAATTGCGCAAAAATCCGGGAAATTGACTGGCTTGAAAGGACATTTCATATTCGTGTTGAAAAAAATATGGCTACAGATACAATTGATAGGTTGAATAGCCCTTTTACTGTAGAGTAGAAAATCTGGATTATCCTGGAATCTAGTTCAACTAATAATATATTTATTGCAAGAAGATTATTAGGTCGTTAAAACAAGAACTTAAAGAGAACTAAAACTTAAATAGAACTGGAACTTAAATAGAACTAGAACTTAAATAGAACCAGAACTTAAATAGAACTAGACCTTAAATAGAACCAGAACTTAAATAGAACTGGACCTTAATAAGAACAAGAACTTAAATAGAACCAGAACTTAAATAGAACTAGACCTTAATAAGAACAAGAACTTAAAAAGAACTAAAACTTAAATAGAACTAGAACTTAATAAGAACAAGAACTTAAAAAGAACCAAAACTTAAAGCAAACTAAAACTAGAACTGAATAACTAGACCTTAAAGATAACTAAAACCAAGAAACAGTTAGTTAGAACTAGAAGTGTAAAAAAAAACTATCTAGATCTAGAACTAGAACTAAATCTAGATCTAGAACTAGAGCTAGATCTATAGAGAACTATAACTTACAGATAACTAAAACTAAAGGATAACTAGAACTAGAGAACTAGACTTTACAGAGTGGAAAAAAACAATAACTTAAATAGAACTATATCTAGATCTATATCTAGAACTAGCAACTTATAGATAACTAGAACTCAAAAAAGAACTAGAACTTACAGCTAACTAAAACTTAAACAGAACTAGAACTTAAACAGAACAAGAGCTTAAAGAAAACTAGTATTGTATTATAATTGAATTATAATAGAATTGAAAGAGAACTAAAACCAAAATACATGTAGATAAAATTAATATAGGCATATTTTCCTCCTTCTATAGTTATGTTCCTTTCCTTTTCCTTCTTTACGGAGTGAAATATTCTCACAACCTCTGTTTCTGTTGGTATTAAAATATTTCCTCCCCAAACTCTTTTGTATTTTTGTTGTTGTTGTATTTAATAAACAAAAGACTACTTAATTCAAAAAATATTTATTTTGTTAAAATAATCTTCTTTTTTTACTTCTCCAATAAAATTAAAAACACCATTAAAAGTTTTGAAAAATACGGTTTACTAAAGATTCTTGGAGTGCATTAAGAATAAAGAAATTCTTTTTTATTTTGACTGTGAAATGAAGTCCTGTAGAAATCTAACAATTTTTAAACATGGTAATAATGGCATGATATGTTTCCCATCTAAGGCCAAATCCAGTCTTTTATTAACCATTTGAAGCTAAAAGTCGTATTCCTATCTCAGAAATATCTGGTTCTCTCTGCAGTTCAAAGCTAGGTAGACATAATTATTTATCTGTAATATTTAAAAATCTACAAGACAGGATGCAGTTTTTAGATCAGAAATATGCAAGACTTGGATTCCTTGGCTCCAACCTGAAAATAGTTTCAGAATTGATACGGATGAACACAATATTTGTTCCTCCAGAATAAAGGAAGTTCCAGGATTGATGCCAAGGAATGAGGACAAAGGATTCATAAATTTACTCTGATTTAGAAGACCATAACCCAGACTTAGATCTATAGATAAAGGTTTATTTCTAGAATAACATAAACTAGTGAGAATACAATATAATCCAACTACTACTTGTTCCTCCAGAACTATATTTTATTCAGAGAATTCAGATCAGAGGACGATGTTAAGTAAAATCCATCATATTTAGCAGTGTCTGCTCTAGTCATGATATAATACAGGACTATAGTAGACACTACCAGACAGGATTGATACTTTTTAGATCAGAAAAATGGAAGACTTGTTGTACAGATATATCGAAGTTGAAGATAAAGGTTTAGTTTTGAAAGAACATGAACCAGTGTGAATACAATACAATCCCACTGCAACTTGTTCCTCCAGAACTAAGCATGTTGATTTGGTGAGGTAAGGACTTAGATAATGAGGAATGTTGTATAATGTTCCATCTGTAAAGGTTATGTAACTGTGATATTTGTGTACACCATATCTACAGTACATAACCCAGACAGACAAAACTATTAAAAACATGTAGATTCAGATGACCGGAACTTGTTTATCAGGGTTTTTATGCAAACACTGTAGATAATGGTTTAGTTTGGGAAGAACATGAACCAGTGAGAATACGATACAATCCCACTACTACTTGTTCCTCCAGAACTAGGGAGTTTAAAGATTCATGAAGGGAGGAAGATGACCGTAATTTCTTTGTGTTATAGCTGAGAAGCACAAGGTGTCATTTGATCTATAGGCGAGTTTCTCAATGTTGGGAAGATAAATAATGTGTTTTATCTGTAAAGATTATGTAACTGTGATATTCGTTTACACAATATCTACAGTACAAAACTATTCAGATCTGTAGAGTCTAAACTCTACTAAAACAAGAGAATTTCAGGATTTAGGATGTTGAATCTACCATATTTAGCAGTGTCTGCTCTAGTCATGATATAATACAGGACTAAGGTAAACACCACCAGACAGGATAGTTACACATGTTACTGTGAAGGTTATGTAACTGTGATATTCGTGTACACAATATCTACAGTACATAACCCTGACAGACACAACTTAAATTCAGATGACCAGAACTATAGAGTATCAGGGTATATTCAAGAGCGGAAGTTTAAGTTTAAGTTTAGGAAGAACATGAACCAGTGAGCATACAATACAATCACACTGCAACTTTTTTCTCCAGAACTTAATAAATCAAAGATAGAAATTTTGTAAAGGTGAAATGAATTTTGAAAGAGATATCAGTTTAAGGAGAACCAATCCCAGTGATATTTAGAATACCTATCACTATAGTTAATAAATATATATTCTGCAATTATCTAAGTTTAGGATAATTATGTACTGCATTGAAATATTATTACTACTAATATTTTACCTAAATTTGACTGTACCAAAGAATTATAACCTTGGATTGTACGCGCTGCTAGGAATAATGTTGAAGGAAATATTAAT